GATTCTCAGCAGCGAGAAGTCTTAGTAGTATAGAATAGAATTAAGAAACTTAGAAAAATAAGAGAATAATTATAAAAGATATAGCAAATAGCTATAGAAAAGCAAAAAAAATATTATAATAAATATAGAAAATTATTCTATTTTAAAAAAAGAGATTTAGTTAAGCTATTAACTCAGAACTTATAACTTAAAGAATTAAGAAAGCTGGCTCCGAAGTTTATAGAATTCTTTTGGATTCTTAAATATATTAAATCTTAGATATATTAATTATATTTATCTGAGAAATATAAATAAATCTATAATATATTTTATATCTCCTTGTTAAAATTATAAAATATTAAAAGAGATTATAAAAAACTGCTCCCGATGTCTGAGCTAGATAATAAAGATAAATAAGAAGTTAAAGAAGTTAAAGATTATTAATATTATAATAGTCAGGATTACTATCTAATCAAGTAAAAAAAATAATCAAGCGAGTATAATTAATAAATTTCTAGTAAAAATATAAAAAATACACTCGAAGCTATAAAGTAATACTGAAAATACTATAAAAAATATTATATATTAAGAAAACAAAAGATAATTACTAGTAAATTATTTTATATTCTCAAGAAATAAGCTACAGGAACATCAATCTCTTAATATTTCTTATTAATTATATTATTATAGATTAAATATATTAATAAATATAAAATTATCCTGCTATAAGACAGCAGAGAATACTTAAATATATTTAGTTATATTTATTATTTATTTATAAAATAAATAACAACAATAATCAGATCTTCTTATTATAACTTAGAAATATTCACAGGGAAAGTAGACTTCAGAAAAAGAACACAGAGATTTATAACTAATTTAATAATATTATTCTTATTATTCGAAGTTGATTTATTATTATTAATATCCGGGTATTAAATATATACTATAGCTCTTATTAAATCAAGAAAGTTCTGCAGAGCAGAAATCCAGCCTATATATTCTAAATTATTGGGCAGTAAATATAATAATATTTCTATCTTATAGATATAATAATTCTCCAGCAAGATATAAAGATTAAAATAAAAAACTAACTATATTAAAAGAGCACAACAGATCTTAATAAACTTAATATATTTAATAATAAACTTCTAACAGAATATTAATAATAGAATTATAAAGATCTTATCTCTTAATTATAATAAGAACTTACACACTTGATAATCTTAATATTTTTTAATAAAAATTTACAAGCATGGATATTTTTTATACTATCAAATATCTTTATAAAAATATAGATCTCTTCGCGGACAGTCTGCTTAATATTATTATTTTAATATTTTTTTTTTAGAATTAGAGTGATCTATTTAATAATCTTTACAAGATTATAAGTATTTTCTAGCAGACCAGTTGCAGACTTGAGAGATATCAGTAAATTATATATATATAATATAGAGTATATAAAACTCACAGAATCACAAGTCTTCTTTCCCGCAAAATAGAAATAATATAGAACAGATATCTTTATATTTAATAGATAATTAATATTATACAGAGCGCTCTTCTTAGAATTAAAATTATTATTTATATATCTTAGACAGTATATACAGAAGTTATAGCGGGCTTTAATAAGAATATCCCGCTTGAAATACACTGTTCTCTTTGTTATTATAAAATAATTAAAAACAAAACTAATATTTAACAAAGAAGGGGATAACAGCGATATAGTATAGATAAAAATAATAAAAATCACACAAAATAATAAAAAATATAAAGAAAATAATTATAAATTACTAAAAAAACAACAATTATAAAGTAGAAGAAAAGAAGAAAGAGAAATAATATAAAAGATTCTTTTATTTATACTTCTTCGCAGGGAATCTATCTATATAAATATAATATAAAAGATTCTTTTATTTATACTTCTTTGCAGAGAATCTACCCATACAAACACAACTAAATACTTATAAAACTATACAGAAACAGCATATAACTCTGTTTATATTATATACCCCGCGAGTTTCTTATCTTTTACTATCAGATCCTCACTGTTTCAAATCAGAAATATATAAGACTATTCTTAACACCCGAGCCAGATGACTTATCTCAGCAAAGAAGAGCACTATTTATAATAGAATAAACCAGCTATCGGGATAAAAATTATTAAGATAATATATTATAGTAATTATAAGAGTTGTATCATCAGGATAATATATTATAGTGATTATAAGAGTTATAAGATTATTAATAATAATTCTATATCTCTCTGATATTTATAAGATATCAATCTTTTTGTAAGAAGCTACTGATTCTTCAAGAATCAGTCTATCTTGTGAATATAGACTATCTTTGTTATTATCAAACAAATACACAGTGTTTCATGGTTGATTCCTTATCTAGTTGACAGGCTTTCTATCCTGACAAGTAGATCCTATCACAAGATTCTTATATCTTAATCTAATTATAAGATTATAGTTAAGATTAGATTAAGATATAATAGTTAGATATAGCCACTCTAACTCAGCCAAAGATAGAATAATTATATTTTACTCTTAATAAGCTGAAGATAGAGTGGTTAACAGCCAGGATAGGATAGATTAATAGAAAAATTTATATCTGCTGTTAGATTAATAATTAGATATAAGATTATTAAGATAATCTTATATCTAATTATAAAATAGTTAAAAATAGAATAATTCATTATTTTAATTATTTTTAATATTAAAATTTATTTATTCATTATTATATATTTTTTAGATTTTAGTTTAGATAAGAATAGAGTGATTAAGAATTAAAATACAGGTTAAAAATCAATCTCTTAAAAAATATATTTAAATCTAAATAAATTATAAATTATAAGTCCTAAAATAAAGTTTAAAGAATTTAATATTTATATATAAATTATATTTTAATTATTATTTAATATAATTAATCTATATTTAATATATAATTAATTAATTCTAGATTTATTTTATATAGGAATTTTTAATTATTATTAAATATTTTATAATAATATTTATATATTATATAATTTAGAAATTAGTTATATAATTATCTAATTGAAATTATATTTATTTTAATTTTTATAAAATATTTTTTTAGAGTAGGCTACTCAGAGTAGCTAACAGCCAGGATAGGTTAATAATAATAGTTAAGAAATTTAGATAATAATTAAAATATTTTATAAGAATTAAAACAAATATATAATTATTATTTTAATAATAAATATAATCTAAACTAGATAATTATATAATTAATTCTTAAATTATATAATATATAGATTATATATCTTAAAATCGTTTTCGGAAAAAACTTTAGAATTAAAAAAATAAGTTTAAAATTATATAATTAAATATTAAATAAAAGATAATATTACTGATATAAATAATAATATAATTATATAAAATATTATTATAAATTCTTTAGTCGGATTTTTAGCTAAGCTTTTATTATCTCATATTCTTATTATTATTAATTAAAGTATACTTATTAATTATTTAAATTTATTTATAAAATATATACTGCTTATATAAGTTCTTAAATAATATTTTAATTATTAAAATTTATAAATTATTAAATTAAAACTTAAAAGAATTTACTATTTTTATATATTAAATATTTCTTAATTCTTAAGACATCTTCTTTTAATAATAATTAATTTCTAATATTAGAGAAATAACTAAATTATACTAATCTAATAATTAACTATTAATATAAAAAAATTAATAATAATAATAATAATAATATTTCAATTCTATTTTTTTATTTCTTCTTATAGAGTGCTATAATACTATCTCTTGCTTTATTATTATTTCAGTATATCGCGCAGATATTATCAAGTATTTGGGATTTGGAGGGTTTATACAAGAACCCCATAACAATATACTCTATATATAAAATATTATTATTACTAGTTTAAGTCCTATTTAAAGAATTATTATTAGAAAAAGACTATATTTAAGACTCTATTTAAGATCCTATCAAAGATTCTGCTTAAAATCTAAGATAATTCTCTATAAAAATCTATATAAAATTATCTCTGTATATAACTATATATACAGATTTAAAAAAATCTTATAAATAAGAATTTTTAAGAATAATAAAAAACAGTAATATAGCTGTGCAAGAGTCAGAAAATTAGATTTAAATATATAATATAACTACACAAGAATCAGAAAATTATATTCTTTAAATATATAATATAGCTGCACAGAGATTAGAATTATAAATTTTGATTTTTAATCAGCTATATTATATAGAGATCTGATCAAGAATCAGACATCTTAATTATAAGATATCTAACTTTCTGACCCTTCCGCAACTTTTTCTGAACCCGCCGGAGCTGTATGCCCGACCCCACCCTCTCTCTTCTTCCTTTTCACTGCCCCTGGCATTACTTACAACCTGTAGTAGCTGTACGTACTTAGGTACTAGAGACCTTCTGCAACAGTCATTTATTATTAATATTTCAATTCAAAATCAGGTATAACAGCCCGCCCCTAGTAATCAGCTATAGAATTATTTGAAAAATATTTACTTTATTATCTTAGCAGGCAGAAAATATTCTTAGTTTATATATATATATATATATAAGCTCTTTAGAGCTCTCTAAAATAGTCTGTTTTAATTATTTTATTAATAATACTTTATATTACTTTATCAAGATCTCTGTCTGATTTTTATATATATTTATTTATTATATTTATCTATTATATTTATTTATTATATTTATTTAGACTGTTAAGTATATATAGATAGTCTGAATAGCTTTAATTCTTCTTAAAACAGTAATTCTTAATAGCTGCTAATTACTAACTGTTTAATAATTATTATATTAGGCCTTATTCTTTAAATAATAAATACTAGCGCTTGTATTTTATTTATATATCTTATAAGTAATTAATCACAGAGATTTATTCTGATTAGATCTTAGCAGGCCACTAAGAAATTAACACTAACCTAATATATTAATTGTAAATGTAAATGACTGTTGCAGAAGGTCTCTCTACTAGTAGTTACCGATGCTGTAGTCCGTATGTACCTTGTGTAGCAAGGCCAGATCTATGAGTACCTTACCTACCTGTGAACAAGTTATTGGAATCTATCCATCATTAAATAGCATGCAAATCATTGTTATTGATAGATATCTAAAAACAAGCCGACTCTGAGATGTACTCGTGTCCTACAAATACCTAAGGTAATACAATACCTACCTACTAGGCAGTAGGTACTGTACCACACCTACGGACTAGGTGCAGATATCGGGTACGTCAGCCTTGTGCCCTAGGCAAACTAGGTGTAGCTATCAGGTGACATGAACGCAAACGAACAACAGTTCTTTGATTATCTCCGCTTCTTTGGTATCAGATATGCTGCACTTATTTTTCAAAACACCCTACATCCACTCTATGCTTTCCCAGAGCTAGATGAGGCACAAGACTTTGTTGTCTCCATGACTTATTCATTCAACGTGTATGTTTGGAGCCAGGCAGTCGAGTTGGTAACCCATCACCGGAAGCCCAAGGCCATGGGACTGTGAGCTAGAGTGGTATCGTCAAGCTGCGGGTAAAACAAGGCTTCCTGAGATGAGCTGTCACACATGCTTTCGCGCTCCAGCTTCGCGACAACAATTTCTTTGCTCCACCTGTGCTCGCAATCAACTCTATCAACTACGGCTCGAAAATGCCAGGATCCTCCTCGAAAAAGAATCAATAGCACATCAAATCGAAGCTGTAGTGAGACACAATGCTGCCCAGGTCAAAGGGCTAGGTGATCCCGCTGAGAACACTGCTGCCTGCGGTGATTGCCTTTCTACCCAGTGGAGTTTTCAAATAATGGCCAAGAAAAAGGCCGAATCTTCCTTACGGATGAAGTCGCTCGCGAGTCGAACCGAAAACCTTATCTCCGAAATCAATGGCAAAAGGCTCAATGTTTCCCAGCGAAGGCTTACGTTGGCCCGGCGATATTCAGACTCAGAGTCTGCGCAATATCAACTTGGTGATCGAGAGGATGCTATGCTCGCTGGCTTTCATAACAATATCAAGAGGACAGATCATCTCTGGCATTCGCTCCACAACAAGACTGCAGAAGCCCGCATCTTTCTCTGTCGAGAAGCTGCTAATCTCTATGGACTACGGCAAAGGACAAAGAATAAGGAAGGCGCACTTCAAGAGGCCTACATAATTGGCGGTATAGATATCATCGACCTCCGAGACATGAATGGAAAGTTTTCATCCTTACTCTGCTGATTCATGTGCAATTATTAATTCCAAATAGGTGCCACACCAGCTCATATTTCGACGTATCTTTTCTATGTTGCTCATCTTCTCGTCCTCATTTCACATTATATGTCTCTCAGACTTCCGGCAGAGATCACTCTTCCCCACAAGGATTACCCTTCTCCCACTATATGCGCACCGTCTGCATCTTATCTCTCACGGGGAGCATGGTCAGCGTCATATTCAGACCATCAATCACCCCCCATATTGGCAGTATTGAGAACGGCAGACCCGTCCCGTCTGCGTCGGTCACGGCCCCTTTTCATCGATAAGTCTCTTCCGAAGCTGGCCAGAGAGGATCATGGAACATATGCTCTTTTTCTCGAAGGAGTAACTTTGTTAGCCTGGAATGTATCGTGGCTGTGTCGTACTCAAGGATTGAACTTATCGTCGGATTCCTGGGAAGAAGTGTGCAATATCGGGAAGAACATGTGGCAACTACTTGTGGCGCCTCCTACACGGCCGTCAACCTTGTTGAGGGCTTTTGCCGGGCGTGATATACAGACGAAAATGAGAATATCCAAGGACTCCCCGCGGACTACTATTCAACGCACAATGTCATTCCCGATGCTCGGCCATTATTCTCATGGTACTGCACACTCATTTCTAGGTGCTACGGAGGGCGCGGAGTTTGTGCGCACCTGGAAACTTCCAACACCAATCAAAGTGGCAGACAAGTTAAAGTCAACCCTTTTGGGAGAGATGGCCAGTGCCGAATGGGAGTTACTCGAGGGCGACTCGGACGACACAGGCCAGGAGCCTACTCAATCTTTCATTCGACGGCCTTCTTTTACCGCTGGCCCACACCTTCACAAAGGGTCAACTAGTGATAGCCTAGATTCTACAGTTCCCGACGCAGAAACCTGGAACGGACCTAGCAGCCCCGCTGCTCGGCTGAAAGGAACGAGTGGCTGGACCAAGTTGAGAAACAGATAGTACTATTATCGAACTGCTTTGATAAATCCTTTTATATGTGGTACTTAGATCTTTCTTTCGCATTGCTTCAGAGTCGTGACTCAAAGATGTACTCATTGCCGGGCCTCTGGGCTGTCCTCACCAGCCACACCATTCAGGAGGACTGGAGATCTGGGGGGCGTCGAGCCCCCTAATACTTTTGTTGGACTTCGGGTAGATTTTGTCAGATAAGCCTGCTACGTAGTGGGGAGATTTTGTATAATATGATTCATGTGGAGTAGCTTCGATTCAAATAATTAGGGTCCTGTTAAAAAAAGATAAAGACAGAGTTAACTCTAAAAGACTAAAATTTAAAAGCTAAATATTATATAACTTTATCTTTTTTTTTAAGTTAGTCTTATATAATATTAAAAAAAAGACTTATAAATAATAAGATTTTTTTATTATTAAACAAAATCTTGTTATATTACTTATAAGACTAAGATTAAGTATGAAGTAATAAAATAAGATGATAGATTATGTATAAGAATAATATTAATATTATATATAAATAAAATTAAGTTATCTGAGAATAGAGTGGCTTAACCTGACTGTTATACCTTAACCTTAACCTGGCCATAACCTGGCAGTTAGATTAAGATATAAAAAATTTTTAACTATATAATTAAGATTAGATTAAGATATAACTATTATTATAATTATTTATATCTGCTGATTAGAAAGATTAGATATAATAGATAAATTAATAACTGCAGATTAATTTATAATATATATATTCTTCTTATATAAATAATATATAAAGTATAATATATATTTAATTATAATATAAATATAATAATATTTTTTAGATATAGTCTACTGCTTAATCTGCTTAATTAATTATTTTAAAAAATATATTATACTCTAAAAAAAGCTTTTATAAAATCTAATATAAAAAAAATAAGAAAAAATATAAAATATTTATTCTTTATATTATTTAAGACAGTAATTATAATAATATAGAAATTATAAAAATTAGATCTTTATCTTTATCTAAGTATATATAATAATTAAAAACTTAGATAAGACTAGTTCTTTTAATTTTAATAATAACTTATTCTCTAAGTTATCTTTAAGATTATTTATATTTTTATTTTATTAATATAAAAAATAATAATTATCTTATTCTTCTCTTATTTTTTAGATATAAAGATAATTAAATCTAGATTAAGATTATTAAGTATATTTTAATATTTCTTATTTATAATAAAATAATTAATATATATTTAAAGTATAATTATTTTAATTATATTAAGATTAAGACAGCTCTGGTAATAATAACAGATATCTTAAAAATTATTAAAAAAATATTTAATACTAATATTATTAATTATAATTAAAAGAAAATCTCTAGCTATTTAATAAAGAATAGAAAACTAATTATAATAAGACTTTTAATAAATAAGAATATTAATATATTCTATAGTATCTGAAATTATATTAATTTAATTAAAAATATTTTAAGAAGCTATATATTTTTAATATCTAGATATATCTTAAGTTCTTTATATATCTTAATAAAAGCTGAATATAAAATAATCTTCTAATTCTTTGTAATATATATAATCTTAAGATTTAAGAAAAAAGAAAAGATCTGACTTAAGAAGCTTATCTTAGTTTAAATATTATTATAATTTATAAAAATCTAAAAAACAGAAGAAGAAGACTTAATAATATTTTTTAAAAATAAATTAAATAATTATAATTAACTTATAATTCTGAAGCTGTTTTATAAATAATAAATATAAAAAAATAAAAATAAAAAACTCTATAAAAACAGTTTATTTTATTTTAAGATATAACTTTATATAAATATAATTTATTATATTTTAATATACAGCTAAGACGCCCGCTGTATTTTATTTATTTTAATAAATTTAATAATTAGAAATTTATATCTAAAGTCTAAAATTATAAAATAGTCTCTTTTTTTAAATAGAGCTGCTTAAGATATAATAAACTAGAATAAAAAATAGATATTTATAAAAAAGATCTATAAAAGAATTTTATAAAATCTTTTATAAAAATTATAATATTATAATACAGATCTAGTATATTCTATTTATTTATTTTATTTATTTAATTTATTTAATTTATTTAATTTATTTAATCTATTTAATCTGCTTTATTCTAATAATCTAATTATCTATAATCTTCTTAACTATTTATTAGTTTTTAATTTTATTAATAACTTTTTAAGCTATATCTTATTTATAAATCTAAGAATAATTTAATTCAGAAGAAATAATAGAATAAAAATAGTATATTTATTTCTAATATTTTAATTAATAATTAATATATAGTTTTTCTAATATTCTATAATATAATTAAGATATATAGCTAAAATAAAGTAATAATTATATATTTTTATATATATTTTTTATTATAAGAATAATAATTTTATAAAAAGCTGAATTTTATTAATATAACTAGAATTTTCTTATTATTTTTAATAAATAATAATAAAAAAAATACTAATTTCTTTTTTAATTATATTTTTTTAATCTAAAAAGCTTCTTTTTATATACTTTTAGATAATAATAAAGATAATTAGATTAATAATTATTTAATCTAAATATATCTTAATTATACTAGAGCTTAAAAAAATATAGTAAATAAATCTTAATATTAAGAATAATTAAAATAATTAATTATCCAGTTTTTAGCTATACCGCGATTAGATATAAAAATTTTCTTAATCTAACTATAATCTGGTGGTTAGATATAAAAATTCTAATTAACCTGACCTGACCTGGCCGTTAGCCACTCTATCTGAGAATTAATTTTATTATAAAAAATTATAAAGACATTTTCTATAATTAATTATATTAAAAAGTCCTGCAAGATTTTATATTAATATTCACAGGAATAATAATATATTTTTAATATAAAAAGCAGAGCTATTAAGTATTAAATTATTATTATTCAAAAAAGAATCCTATAAAATAACTTGCAGCTTAAATAAATTATAAAACATTAGTAGATATATTATTTATAATATATTTTATTTTAACATTATTATAAGATATATCCCAGAGCTATCTAACTTAGCTAGTATATTTTATTAGACTGATATCTACTAAGTTATATATATATATATATATATATAAATTTATTAGATTTTTAAAAATTCTTTTTTAAATATTAATTATTTTTTAGATATATATAGACTTGATTTTTTATAGCTTATAGATTCTATCTCTAATATTAAAAATAATTTATAAAAAAAATACTATAGTTTAATAATTAATTTATAAGGGTGTGTGTTGAGGTAGTGTAAAGAAAGTATATCTATTATAAAGTTAAGATAATATTTATATTACTTAAAATATTATTATTAATTTTTATCTAGTTTTTTTTATAGATAGATATATCTATAAAAATTCTATAAATTATATATTATTCTAGTATAATTACTTTATAAAAAACTATTTTTATAATATAAGTATTTCTTATAATATAGTATATTATAAGTGTTATAAGAATTACTATCCTTATATAATTATATATTAATAAATAATTTATAAGAAGATATCACAGATTAATAATTAATTATATATAAAAAGAATAATAGATAATTTAATATAAATATAATATTTTATTAATCTAGTATACAGATTAAAAAAAGGCAGAGTAGTAAATAATAAAATAATAAAATTATTATAAAAATAATAGTAAAATAAATAAAAATAATTTAATTAATAAATTAAGAAATTATAGATGATTATAAATATTTAGATAATAAAAAGAACTATTATCTTCACAGAAAATATTCTCAGAATTTTTATAAATAATTATTTAATTATATAATTAAGATCTCTTTATCCAGAAATTAAAATCTTTAATAAAAATAATAAATAAGACTTTTCTAGCTTTAAGATATATTTATAAAATAATATAATAAGAAAAATCTTACTCTAGTCTCTAATATTAGAATCTAAATAATAAAGTTATTTATATTAATATTATTAATTATTATTAAATTAGATAAAGTTTATAAAGATAAAAATTAGAAAATAAGAATATTAAATAAGCTGTACTTATATTATTAAGATAATTAGAATTTTAAAGAATTTTCAAAAAACTTTAATATTATATTTATATAAGCTAATAATATTATCTAAAATAATAATTTAAAAATTATTATATTAAAGAATATTTTTAGCTATATTTTTTATTAAGTAATTATTAATTTATAGAAAAGCTTTATTTATAAAAGATTTTATAATTAATTATAATAATATAATTATAATATAAAAAGATTATTATAAAAGAAAATTTTCAGAAATAAAACTATTATTAATCTATATTAATTATCAGTTTATTTAATATTATAAATTAGAAATGTATTATTACAGGTGTAAATTATTAAAAACCGGCTTAGTATAAGAATGTATATACTAGATAAATAAATCTTTTTAATAAAGTAAATAATTATATAAAAACTTCTTTAAAAAAACAGATATTTATATTTATTATAAAAAATAGAAATATTGAATTAAAAATATAATTAAGAATCTGCTGTTTAATTAATTATATAAATTATATTTATAATTCAAAATAAGAATTAGTCTAGGAAAATCTTAAATAATTATAAAAATTATTAAAGAAAAGAATAATCTCTATATAAAATTATAAACAGAGATATTTGAATAGAATAATTATATTAGAGGAATAATTGAATTAAGCTAATCCAGTAATTGACTGTTGATACAGAAGAAATTAATAAAGAAAAAAAAAAAGTAAGAACATCTAAGTTATATTTTTTATCTCTTCTTATATAGTGCTATCTCTTGCTTTATTTAATTATTTATTTAATTATAGTATATCAAACAGATTATTTACACCGATTTTATTAAGCTTTTAAAATTAAAAGAATTTATATAAAAATTTTATAATAGTATTCTTCTTTTTATTTTATATATATTCTGAATAGCTTTAAGATTTTTAATATATATATTATTTTAGTTATATAAAGAATATATTTGTTATAAATAATAATTCTCTGATTTTTTTATTATCTTTGAATATAATTTTATAAATAATCTAATATTTTTATATTATTTTTTTATTAAGTTCTTTTTTATTTTTTTTATATATTAATATTTTCTTCTAAGTCTTTTAAGTATAATTAAAAAGATTAAGTCTAAAAATATATTTATTATAATTCTTTTCTATTTTTTATATAATCTCTTCAAATCCACTCAGATTAATCTTTATATAAATAAGCTTATTAT